AACTTGTCCATGGTGACCAATCAGGTTTGTGACAGCTCTGGGCAGGGACCCATTTATCCTATCACTCATCCAGGTGTGCATTCTACTCCACCTCCACTCTTGGAGATTCTCGCAGCTCCAGGTCTGAGCTGGGGGGAGGGAGAGGCTGGGGTTGCAGGGTAAGGGGACAGCTTAAATGTGTCCTAGGCCATCTGTCTGCCGGGCTTTTCCTTCACACCCCAGGAGGCTTTCCTCACCTCGTCTCCATTCCCTTCCTCTTCTCAAGGGGCAACCCCTTTGATCTCACCCCTGAATGGTCTATGGGCCATAGATAATTTCCTGCCTCTCCCTCTGACACCTCTCTAACCAGTCCTGCCTCCTCCAATCCAGCCTCTTTAAGAAGGGACAAACACTTGAGTTTTCACAGGGGCCAGTCCATAGCAGATGGGAGGGCCAGGCATGAGACAGTAGGGACTGGTGAGGACTGGGGCAAACTGGTGTGTCCACGCCCATCTCAAAGCAGCAGATGCTGCTCAGCTCCCATTGATGCTGCCACAGGAGCAAAGGTGAGCTAGGCATGGCCACATCTTGCATTTTCCAGAAGCCAGAAATGGAGGTTTTTGCGTACCTTTTTTTTTTTTTTTTTGGTCTAGACAACACAAACACATCCACTGGGGGAGTCAGTCCTCCATTTACTAGTCTAAGTGGTGTGTATGACCTGTAGTCCACCCAGGCCTCGGAGGGTGCAAATCAGTCCCAGGGACAGAATAGGGGAAAATGGAGCCAATCAGTGGCCTTGGCACGAAATTAGCCGCTGAGGGAAGAGGCCTCAGCAAAGTCGCTGAGTTTCTGAAATCCCAGGCGCTCCGTGGCGGGATTTTTTTTTTTCTGCTGCACATAACAACCTTCTGCCAGGCTCCTGGACGCTGACAGCCCAAGATGTGGAATTTACTTTGAAATGCAAATCACGGGGAAAAAGTGATATTGATGTTGCCGACTAATTAAGGGCTGGCCTGGTTTAAACTTTGGAGGGCTCCTGCCTGTCTCGGGTCTTGGAGGGAGCCCGGGAGGATGCTATTTTTATTAAATCGAGGAGATGAATCAACCAGTCTAAGTGGATGGGGAGGCGGAGGACGGGGGCTCACAGTGACAGTGGCGTGGAGACTCATGAGGTCTTCACAACTCACTTGCGCAGACTGTGAGGACACGGTCTCAGGACATCAGCCCCAGAGCCATCTCCCTTCCAGGGTCACTGATCATGGAGAGGGGATGGAGTTGTGGGTCGGGCGACAGAGCCTGGCTTTTCTGGAACTGAAAGCGGCACACGGCGCCTGATTGGAGTGGTCAACTGTGATTTACGGGAGGCCTCGAGGCCTCATTTGCAGATTCTCTCTCTGCGGGATCTGAGTTATGCTTGGAGACCTTCCAGAACTAGTAGCTGCCAAGACAGGGGCATTCACAGCCTCTTAAGGCCAGCCCCCTGGGGGCAGGAAAACAGGGGCTCAGGGCTGGCTCCCCACTGCCCTGATCTCTAATGACAGCTGACGCTTACTGCAGGCTGGGAAGGTGGTGCTCTCTTACTTTCATTTTCCAGAGGAAGTAACAGAGCTGGAGAGGTCATGCAGCAAGTGAGCTGCAGAGTGACTCAGACCTATATAGTCTGACACTAGGGTTCAAACTCTTAGCCCCTCGACTCTGTAACCCCTTGCCCTCTGCCCAGTGCTTGGCCCCTGAGCAATGTGGAGTATGTTCCTTTGTTCACTCACCCCCTTTCACTAATGCATTCGTTCTGTCGGCCGCTTGCAGTAAATGCTTCCATTTGCTGTCATGCTGGAACCCACAAGACCCTGACCAGGAAACATCATTCCCCATTTTACAGATGGGGATGTGGAGCTTGCAGCCTGTTAACTGACTTGTGGGCGCAGGGGTGGAAGGGGGTGGCGGGACTCACCACTCAGTCTCCTGACCCGGCTGCTAGTATTCCTGACTACTCTAGAACTTTGTGCTAAAACTGAACCTCCTTGAAGGCAGGCAAGGGAACTTATACTAAGTGTTCACTCCTCAGAGTGTCCGGTGCAAAGCTGAGCACGCTCACTCACTCACCCATTCAGCAGGTGTGTGACTGGATTGCCTTTTGTGGCTATGCTGGGAGCTGGGGGTCCAGTAGACGCAGTCCTCTCCTTGGGAGCCCGTGTCTTGGCAGGATCATGGGCAGGTAAATAGGCAATAACCACACCAAGGGATGGAGGTGGGAGGGAGCTCTGAGACCCCAGAGAAGGGACTTCTAAATTAGTGTTTCTGCCTTTCACACCCAATGAGGACCTAATCAGGCCAACTGGAACCCAGAGGAGAGGTGGCGGGGCCGGAGGGCAGGGGTGGTCTGAAAGTCAGAGAAATCCCTCTGGTGTATGAGGGTATTTAGAGATTTGGTCATTGGATCCAGACAAGCTTGAGCTGGGATCCTATCTACTTGATTTAATCGCCCTGTGTCCTCAGGAAAGCCACCTCACCCCCATGAGCTGGTTTCCTCCTCTGAAGAACACCTATCTCCCAGGACTAAATGAATAAAGGCATACGATACAAGGATGGAGGCTGGCCATGTCAGAAGAACTCTAGAACCGTAGCTATTCTTATTGTCATTGTCACCGCCCCACCTCACCACTGTGGCTATGGATAGACTCAGAAGGCAGCCAGCCCACATGTGGGGGCCTTGGCCCCTCTTGCTTCCTTCCCCTGACTTTCTTCCCTCTGCCCCTGAGCACCAGCTGAGCCCAGAGACACTGCTCGGTGTCTGGGGCCAGGTTGGGGCCGGTGGGGATCAGACACAGAGCAAGCCCAGGGGCTCGGCCTTGGCAACCTTCTATGAGACTGTGCCTCAGCGATTTCCGGACCCCACAGAAAGTGGACCTGAGCTGATGTGTGTTGCTTAAAGGAATATCTGAAAGAAACAAAATATAGTTTTTAAAAATGACCCTATCATGAAGTGAGCAGTTCAGACTCGAGGACACAGCGGATGTGTACATATTAGCAGCCGCCAGGGAACCGGGCTCCCAATATTCTCACCTTTACGGTGTTCTCTCCTGTGCCATCTGGCTGGCCCTGGGGCTCCTCTGACCAATAGCCTGTGGCAGAGGCAATGCTATGCCACTTCCAGGTGTAAGTCTTAAACAAAAGAGTTGCCGAATTTTGGCTGGAAACCAGTGCCAGCCTAAGGGTCTTTCCCGGGGGCTTGGTGGCTCTTAGTTAAATCAGGACAGATTAGCAGGTGTTAGAGTTTAGAGACCAATGAAAGATGAAGGGCAATTAATTGTAAAGGGAATGATTTGCTACTATTGTTTGAAACCCAAAGGGGAATGCCCCCCCCCCCCACGAACCTCGCCTTGAAGTCACCTGGCTGCAAGCCCTACATGCTGAGAAATGCCTGCTCAGGTGACCCATGGTTTCCTGAAAATTCTGTCCATTCATGGGACATGGCTCCCCTCTGATCATGGCTCCCTCATTTGTCCCTGATTCCTGGGACCCTGAGAAGGACACAGTCTGTCCATCATCTGAGCCTTCCATCTGGAATTCCATGACCTCCCGGGGACTTCTGGTCAGGTGGTAGAGAATAGTATTTATGGCTCAGTGGCCAGATGGAGCTGGAATGTTCTGTAGCAGAACATAGTGGTGAGTGCAAAGTCGGTGGGTTCCCAGGCCGGAGCCAGTCAAGTACAGTGCAATTGCAGGTTTTGCTCTTACCTCAGAAGGGATATTTTTCAGTTTTGTGCTAATCACCTTGGTTTCCTGTGAATGTACCCCCTGGCTCCTGCAGGCAGGAAGATAGACGGTGGCCCTAGAGAGGTGGCATGCTCGGGACGCTTTCAACCCAAGGACATCACCAACTACAGCCATGGGCAAAGGACATGGGGCATTTTAGTTTGTGTGGCCCCCTCCTTCCTCACCACCAATTTCTGACCATTTTCTCTTGAAATTACATACAGGGCATTCATAATGATGCTAATGGTTCCCATCTTCCTGCTGCTTGGGCCAGAGGCCTTTTTAGATCTCAGCAGTTGGAAAGATGTTAACTCCAAATGGAAATCTAATCACGAATCATGGAAAGATTGACTTTTCAGCCATTGGGGATGTGCTAGGGGTCTGGTTGAGGCAGAAGCGGGTCTGTTTCCATCTCAAATTCCCTGACATCCCCTCCTCTTGGTCATGCTTGGGATTGATTCATAACTTATTTTCCTATAAACAAAATGATTTCCTGTAAACAAGGATTTGAATTTGATTGACAAGGAGGGGTTGGGCTTGAACCTAGAGTGTGACCCCTGCCATCACTCTGGGAGAGAACTCGCCCTAAGGGAAGAGACGGTCTGGCATGATGACATTATTCCAACTGCAGAGCTCGAGTTGTCATAGGGACAAAGGGATTCTGAGTAGAAAGATTATGATATTATGAGCGTTGCTCAAATGCATCCCCAACCCAGGCCAGCCGCCTGGATACATGTGTCACAGGGTGAAGCAAGGGAGCAGCTTCTTGAAGCTTGAGAGCCAAGCAGTAGCACTGAGATCCCTCTGATAGGGTGTACTGGAAGGGGGAGAAGGCATTCATGCCCTGCTCTTCATCCCGGATTAATGGATAACATCAGCTAGGGAAATTAAGCTCATTAGAATAGGCTCCTGGTGGGCCAGTGGGAGAGATGATGGTGACTGGGAAAGATGGGGAAATAGAGCCTGATCCCTGCTAGATCCTGTGGAACAATTTAGGGGGATTGCCACACCCGGAGGGAAACTTCGGGGCCCCCGAATATCCAACAGTTACTCTGGATTGCTGAGAGGGGCCGTGTGAAGACCCAATGACCTGGATATTTGAACTCAAGGAAGAAGAAAAAAGAAAAATGAAGAAGCTTTTTGAAGAAAGCATACGTGTTTGCAGATCAGAAAACAGAGTGGATCTCTCATTGTCATGGGGCCACAGGGATTCCCTGAGAGAAGCACATCAAAGGACCCGAGAAAAGCCAAGAAGAGGAGCTTACCTGCAGGGAGTAGCCAATTAAGGATTTTTTTTTAAGCCAGCAAGTTAAGGCTGAGTGAGTAATCCATGTTCCCATGGAGTTGTCCCAGACCGCAAGCTGGAGAGAAAGAGATCAGCTTAGAGGGGTCACTGGTGGACAGGTTCCAGGTGTGAGAGGTCCTTCAGTGAAAGTCAGGGGCGGGCACAGTCACCGGGCCCTCAGGGGGTTACACCTGCTGAGCAGCCTAGAGATCATTGCCTCCCAAGTATAAGGACTCCTCAGTAAGGAAGGGGCTTCCCATTTAGAGAACTGTAATTCAGAGGAGGAACTCACCTTATAGCTGGAGACAGCAGACCAAAGTTTACAACTGAAATGGGAAAGCTTGCACCAATAATTAGGTGCCCTGACCTAGTCTGTGCCAGGGAAATGGTTTCCACCCTACAAATGGTCAGATGATCATAAGGTACTCAGAAGGAGGAAATCCCACAAGGAAGATGTAGCATGTTAGACCATCATTCAGCAAGTATCTGTTCCCTCGTGCATCTGTAAGGAGTGCTCTGTATCCCACCCCTTGCCTTGGGTCTGGCCATATCGTTTGGCCAACAGGACATTAGAGGGCATGATGCAAAATGACTTGAAACGCATTTGTGCGGTTTGTCCGCTTATGCTCCCGCTTTAGCATGCGTAGAACATGACTCTTGATTCAGACTGTAGGCCAGGGAGGATGAGGCACACATGGAGCAGATGGGGATCCAATCTGACCTGAGCCAAACCCTGCTGAGCCCAGCCTGGGTCAGCCAAACCCCAAATAACTCTCAGATATGTGAGTGAAAAATAAATGCTTAGATGGTGGACTGAGAACCTTATCATCTTCCCAATATGTGGAACCCTTTCAAGCCCCTTCCCTGTTGCTAAGCATGAAGAGTGTCACCAGACTCTAGTAGACACCACTCATCCCAACCCTCTCCCCAGGGATCATAGATAAGAGTCATTGCTACCTGGCTTCACATCCTCATTCCAATTCTTTCTAGCTCTGTTTCCTTATCTATAAAATGGAAATTATTATTAGCTACTTAAAGAGAGATCAAGAGCGAGAGAGAACACAGAGGGAGGGGCAGCCCCAGTGGCGCAGCGGTTCACACCTGCAGCCTGGGGTGTGATCCTGGAGACCCGGGATCGAGTCCCACGTCGGGCTCCCTGCATGGAGCCTGCTTCTCCCTCTGCCTGTGTCTCTGCCTCTCTCTCTCTCTCTCTCTGTCTCTATGAATAAATAAATAAAATCTTAAAAAAAAAAAAGAACACAGAGGGAGAAGGAGAGGGAGAAGCAGACTCACCACTGAGCAGAGAGCCTGATGTGAGGTTTGACCCCAGGACCCTGAGATCATGACCTGGCCCCAAAGCAGATGCTTAGCCAACTGAGCCACCCAAGTGCCCCTTATTTATTTATTTTTGAGACAGAGAGAAGGAGAGCACATGTTTGTGTCAGTGTGTGGGGGAGGAGGGGCAGAGGGAGAGGGGGAGAGAGAATCCCAAGCAGAGTCCCCATTGAGTGTGGAGCCCAACACAGGGTTCAATCCTAGGACCCTGAAATGATGACCTGAGCTGAAACCAAGAGTAGGAAGTTCAATTGATCCACCCAAGTGCCCCAAGGGGTATGAGTTTTAAATAAGGTAATGCTATAAAATATGTTGAACATTATCTGGCACATAATCAATAAATTTTCAACAAGTAGTGGTCGATCATTATCCTTTACCATGATTGGAGATCATTGCTTCAGACTTATTATTTTTGGAATTTACCTCATGGTCCAGTCAGACTTGGGAGCTAGATCACCTCTACTCACATCTCCTTGCTGGTGAGCCTGGCCTACACCCTCACCCTCTGTTTCTGGTGGAAGGGGATGGTTCTGAAATGCACACACTCTTTGGTTTCCCTCTGGAGAGGCCTCAGCTGATTCTGGGAGGTTGATGTCAAGTGTTGAGAAGAAAGGCATGAATCATGTCTTTCCAGGGAGGTTAAAAATCCAGACCCTGAGCAGTTGCCAAAGATCACAGAGAGTGGGGTCAGGTTCTGAGTGTCTTGTAAAGCTGGATTCTTTCCTTAATGTGACAAGTCTGAATCCTGTAGGGTGAATACCAAAAGCTCAGTGAGCCAGCCAGGTTTGTAAACACAGGCGGTGTGGCTGGAAGATGACAAGCTCAGTCTGAGCCAGAGGAGAAGGTACAGCCACTCCACTCCTGCTTTGGCCTCTGTGAGGGAGCCCAGGGGGCCTTGGCTCTCTCTAAAGTGAGAAGGTGCTGGAGGTTCTATTGGGGTCTACACTCTGTGGGTGAAGGAGTGTTTGAGAAAGACTGCTAGAGGGGCACCTCGGGGGCTCAGTCAGTTAAGTGTCCGACTCTTGATTTCAGCTCAGGTCATGATCTTGAGGTCGTGAGATCGAGTTCCGTGTTGGACTCCACACTCATTAGGGAGACAGCTTGAGGTTCTGTCTCTCTCTCCCTTTGCCCCTCCGCCTCTCTGTGGTTGCACTCTCTCTCTCTGTCATCAGGCACCCCCTAAAAATAAATAAATCTTAAAAAAAAAAAAAAAAAGGATTGGCACCTGGGTGGCTCAGTTGGTTAAGCATCTGCCTTCGGCTCAGGTCATAATCTCAGTGTCCTGGGATCATGTCCCTGCTCAGCAAAGAGTCTGCTTCTCTCTCTCCCTCTGCTCCTCCTTGCTGTTCATGCTTGCTCTCTCTCTCTCTGTCAAATAAATTAAAAAAAAAAAAAAAAGCATTGCCAGAGTCACAAAATTGTCCCAGAGAGCATAACTGAGAAAGAGATGAATTTTATCTTTATATTATGGTTCATTGGTTCTAAGATGCACATTTTCTCCCACATCTTAACATCTCTGAAATCAGGATGTTTCTTACTATCCACTGACACGAAAATGTTGTCATAGGATAATTGGCATTGTTGTCTCATTGCTAGTGGTTCATGAAATAACACGTGTCTTACAACATTGTAGATTTGGTGAAACATAGCCTTTTTTTTTTTTTCAGCAGCTCATATTTATATGGATTTACTCTGTGTTAAATCCTCTGATTAGTGCTTTACATGGATGAGCTCAGGAGTAAGATTCTGAAGTGATCCTCATTTTGCAGCTGAGTATACCAAGGTCAGAAAGGTGAAGTCACTTGCCTCAGGCCATACAGCAATGGAGAAGGTCCCCAGGCCTTGCCCTTTGTTCTCATGCCTGAATTCATCTGTCTTTGATCTACCCTCTCTGAACGTTCAGTTTGTTGATAAATTAGATCAGGGTTTCCTTTGAAGACCTGCTTGTCTGTCTCCGGTCTACCTGTCCTCTACTTTTCCTCTCCTTCTCCCTCTCTTCCTCACCTGCTGGCCCTCCCCCCTCCTTTCCTCCCTACCTCCCTCTCTTTTCACAAATGTATGCACATCTCAGGGCTCCTTGACTACCTGTTCCCCAAATCTTTCTCTTAATCTATAACGCTCCTAGGAAATCGACTTTGTTCACTCAATCAAAATGTATTTATTGGGTATCCACCATTATCAAGGCTCTGGGGAAATTACCCTGTGCAAATGAGTGATGAACAAAACCATCTCCTGATCTCATAATGTTTATAATATCATATATGTGAAACTTTTGCTTTTTGTATGCCAATTAAAGCCCCATTTTAAATGTACCAGGAACATCTGTTGATCAAAAAGTGGTGGATTATACCCTTCTACCTTCATGGATATAACAGACTGTCCTGCCTAATACCCACAAAGCCATAAAAAAAAAAAAAAAAAAAAACCCTACTGGGACTAGCAGAGGCTGGAAAAACTCTCATTTCATAGCTGGAAAAAGTCTTCTACTTGGCAAATGGTGGGGATCTAAATGCTCTTTGAGGCAAGCTATTTCTCTGTTCTGGAAAAAAACACCTGAATAGGCCCTTCAGCTACACAAGAGCAAAGCAAGTGGATGCCAATTATTTCAGGGAAATCTGTGAACTAGCTGTTATCCTGAACACAGATGGTTAGGCCAAGCTCCTCTTAACTCCCTGGAGACTGTTTCATTTTGGGCAGGTAGGAGGATTTTTTTTCTCTTTTTTTCTGTATGCTGTTTAGGTAGCACCGTGCAGGAGGCCTAGGTCCTACCGCAGGTCTTTGGGGACTGCTGTGTACTGGTGATGAGCATTGCTGATGGGGAGCTGGCACAGAAGTCCTGGTGGCTGTTGGAAGGATGAGAAGGTCCCGCTTCCAAGAGAACCTGGTCCAGCTTGAGCGAGTCCAACCCCAGCTATGTACTGGAGGTGATACAAATGGTGTGGTCAAAAACATACAAAGTTGGGGCACCTGGGTGGCTCAGTCAATTAAGTTCTTGACTCTTGATCTCAGCTCAGGTCTTGGTCTCTGGGTCATGCATTCAAGCCCTGTGTCGGGCTCCACATTGGGTGTAGAGAATCCTTTTTTTAAAGATTTTATTTATTTATTCATGAGAGACAGAGTGAGACAGAGACAGGCAGAGGGAGAACCAGGCTCCATGCAGTCCCAATGTGGGACTCAATTCTGGAACCTTAGGATCACACCTTAAGCCAAAGGCAGCCAAAGGCAGCCAAAGGCTCAACCACTGAGCCACCCAGGCATCCCAAGACTACTTAATAAAATAAAGAATAAAATAAAAAATACAAATGCCAGAGTTTACAAAAAAATTACAGAATCGAGTCTATTAACCTGTCATGCAAAAGAATGGAATTTCGCTGAGCAGATTATGCACAGAGGGAGTGAAGTCAGGAGTGTTAAGTGCTAGAAAGGGATTTTCATGGTGCTGTGCTAATTATGGATTGGAAGTTAGCCTTGTGGACAGGGCGAATGGGTCCCTCTGTACACAGATCTGGAGGGCAGGAAAGAGTCTTCACTTGCTTCTGGAGAGATCTGGTGCTCAGGGTCACTATGAGTTTGTGGTCTTTTATCAACTTTAGCTGATTGCAACCATTTGTGATGAGACAGGACAGACAGTGGCTATGTAATATCAGTTAAGGTAAGTGTTGATGTCAGTGGAAATTTTTCTTTCTTACAATGCTGTTGAAGACTCAGTTACTTAGACTTTGGGAAAGGTACTGATGGTGGGTGATTTTATTCTGATTCCACTGCCTTACATTGGGGCAAAGAGCCAGGCCCCCAGCAGGGCTTCCCATAGAGGGACAATTCTGAGACCAATTTTACAAATGGACAATGGGCAGAGCATATACAAAAGCAGAATTCTGATTCACAAACTCACCAGCCCCATGCCACTAGCCATGCATGGTAAGGACTTGATCAAGAACCACTAGCTTTAAGAGAGAGAGAGAGAAAGAGAGAATGGCCAGCTTCTCTAATTTTGCCCCTACTTGCAAATGACGACCAACCATGGACAGGAAAATAAACCCCCTAACCAATCACATAGAGTACCCTCTTCCAGGTAGCCCACTTCCAGCTTCCTGGGCCAACAGCCTCTACTCAGGGCACACGTGAGGTTGTCCCTTTTTTCTGACATAAAGCTTTCCCACGTCTCTGCCTGTCCTTGAGTTTCTGCCAAATGCAAGTGATTGTGGCTCACCCTTTGCTTTATGGCCAACTCTGAATAAATCGCTTTTGCTTATTCTTATTTGGGTGGTCTTAATTTTTTGCCACAATTCCCCCTGTCTGATCGCAGACAGGAAAGAGGGCCAGGAAAGGTGGCATTTCAGATAAGGGGAGCTCAACCCAAGAGTATAGGCATGGTCTCAGGCACCCCTCGGTGGTGGGATCTGTTGCCTCTGGGGCTTGGAGGCAGGACTGCAGCCAGGCAAGGGCAGCTGGTACAGGATGGCCTTGGAGCCAGAGGGATCTGAGAGAAGTCATCTCTAGCAGCAGAACTACATTGCATCCTTGATTGTAAATCCCTCCTGGATGTTCAACAACTTCTTGGGAAACTTGATGGTCTAGTCTTGGTTGTGTCATGCAACTTAAAGTAAGGCTTTGTTCCCAGATGGAGACAAATCAAGAAAGGACAAAGTAGAGATCACAGTGGGAACTGCAAAAGACCAGAACACCAGGAGACATCAGGGCAGCAGCAAAGCCCTGGATCACATCCCCTGGTACCCCGGGCTCTACCCTCAGTAGGATTAAAGGAGGAGTACCCATAGCCTTTTGCAATGGCAAGTTCCCTCTTCCTTGGCCCGTGCCAACTATGGTGGGGTCACCCTTGAGAAACCTCAGAGATGTTCAGGAGAGGAGGGAAAGAAAGCTCTTGAAGAGACTGTAATTCTTACCAGCAGTATCTTTTATAATAAAAGGGGGCAGTGTAGGGGCACCTACACTGGGTGGCTACAGGTCTAGTTGAGTGATTCTTGATTTCAGCTCAGGTCATGATCTCAGGGCCCTAGGATGGAGCCCTGTGTCAGGCTCCACACTCAGCGGGAAGTCGGCTTGGGGATTTTCTCTCTCCCTCTTCCTCTGCCCCTCCCCCTGCTCTCTCTCTAAAATAAATAAATACATCTTTAAAAAAATAAAAGGAACACAGTGTCAATAGCCAATAGGAGGAGGTGGTTAAATCAGTCATCCAGTAGATTATTACCTGGTGGTTAAAAATAATGGCAGTCTATTAGAAAGAGAGAAGATGACTCTCACTAAACATCAAATAGAGAAAAGTGGTCCAAAAAGTTGGCACAATATGATGCCATTTTCATGATGAAAACCAGTTACAGGGATAGAAAAAGGACTATTAAATTAGTTTGACCAAAATGTTAAGAGTTGTAACCTCTGTATGGGGGCCTGGGTAACTTTTATTTCCTTCTGTTTTATTGGCATTTTCTGAAGTTGCCATCAAAAAATATAAATTCTAGATTTACACTGGAAAAAGTGAATGTTATTTTGCATCCTATTTTACCAATGGAGCTGCTTTGGCTCTGAGTGTGGGACTCCATTCTCCTCCTGATGCTCCCATGTGCCTCCCTGGGGTCTGCCTGACTGGCAAAAATTCTAGGAAATAAACCCAAAATGCAGCTTAAGGAGATCTGTTCAGGAACAAGCAGGGAGGGGAGCCAAATTCTTCATCCAATCCCTCAGCCAGCCGTGTCCTTGGAAGAATAAAGAAGCAACGTTTTCAGAAAGGAAGGATTTGGAGCTCTGGTGAGAAAAAGTTGATCAGAGAAGCACCGAGGGTTTGGGGGCTCACAGGCCAAGAGTAGGGGTGGGCTTTACCTTCCCATCATCTCAAAGCCACACTGAATGATGGCATTCTTCTTTGCTATGTATTTTCTCCATCTTATGTAGGGTGTGGATAAAAGCATTTTTACACAATTTGGCTATTTTAATGGCTCTGTAATATTTACTATTTATTTATTTATTTATTTTAATTCATTCATTCATTCATTTTTGAGACAGAGAGGAAGAAAGGGCAGAGGGAGAGAGTAACTCAAGCTGAGTCTGTGCTGAGCACCGAGTCCAACGCAGGGCTCAATCTTAGGACCCTGAGATCACCATCTGAGTTGAAACCAAAAGTTGGACGCT